ATGTTATCTGTGTTTACTTTATGAAAATGTTTCAAGCCAAATGTATTAATCCTATCCGATTATGCAGTGTATCAATTTACATTAAAGGGAGTCATTTCCTTCTTCCAGAAATATGAATCTCTGGTGATGCCCACATTTGCCCATGTGCACAGAGGTAAAAATATCGTTAGATTGTAGTCTTACAACTGGAGAGTCTTTTGTATCACTATGCTTTGGTGTCCAAATGCAAAGTTAGAACATTAAGATAATATTGTCATGGTGTACCATGTTATAATTTAAATACCAGAAACTGAAACCTGAGCTAAAATCAAGCACTTACGCTAAGACTTCTCTGCCAATTGTTATTTTTATAGATGTTAGATATGTTAGCTAGATCCCTCTCAAGGATGTCCTAAGGGTTAATTTATGTAAATAGTAAACTAACATTTCCCTGGTCTGCTAACTTGTGCTATAATTCAAAGGAAGCTAGTGGTCTAACCACATGACTTGGTTCTCTGAACAGAGAGTGAGTCATAAAGGAAACTAACACACTCTTATTAAAAGAGTAGGTGCAGCATGAGTTTTCAACATTTTATATTGCTTAATGTAAAGAAAAATGAATTTTTTTCTTTGTTTCAGCGATTGGAGCCAACATTTTGCATGTTTACACTATCCCAGTTTGAGGCAGCAAAAGAATACTTTCATCATTTGGGTGTCAGCTACAAGCGAATGGGAGCACTTTTACCCAGGTTGAAACTTTGTTGGTCCATGTTCCAATTCAAATTGCTGGAATTCAAACACCGAATCTAGACTGATACTTGAGCAAAGTCCTTTGGATGTTATCAGATCAAGGGTGCCAGTAAAAAATTCCATGACGCCTTTTTTAAGATCAGGCGATTTCTCCCCATTGTCCTTAGCCAATAATAATCCCTCGATTAAAGTCATTAAGTACATATACTACCTTTTCCTAGCTACCATTAGTTTTGAAGAAGAGTCACTGGACCCAAACCATTAACTCTTTCTCTCTACAGATGCTGCCAGACCTGAGTTTCTCCAGTATTTTATATTTCTGTTTCATTAAATACATTAACTGGTCATTTTCACATTGGTGTTTGTATGACCTTATAAACAAATTGGTTGCTGAATTTCATACATTAAAAAATGATTACATATTAAAATGCTTTAAATCTGTAAAGTATTTCAGGAGTGTGAGGGGCATAATATCAATGTATAACTTCATATAAAATAATTCTTTTTCTTTGTTAAATAACTCCTAATTTTCATAACTTTTGCTGCCCAAACCACTTTCAAAACTGCAAAGCTGAGGAGCCAAATAGCTATAACCAAGAACAACTTTAAAACAGAAATTGACAAGGTTCATCATGAGCATCAAAGGTAAGATGACATTTGCTGTCCATTGTGTAGTTCAATATATATGTCAGCAGTGATTCAGTTCAGGAGTTGGTAGAATGAATAAACATCAGCAAAGGCCCAAATGTCTTGAGTTTGCAGCTGTAATGACAGCAAAACCTAAATCACTTTCTTTACTGTATAAAATTGACAGCAACTTCTGACATCTGCACATTCAGAGAAAAATGGGGAAATTCTCACATTTCTGTCAGGGATATCCTGCCCTCCATGATGGGTGTGTTGTTGCAGTCTTCGTTGATGCAATTAACATAATCAATGAGTTGGTGTGATTCTTAACTTTTATTAATGACACAATGCTCATTATCAAAAATTCTACTTTTTCTTGAGCGAGGTACAACTGAGTTGTTAACAACATACTCAGTAGTAATTAATACAGATTTATCTCTCTTGCCCCAGAAATCTAATTTTACAAATATGGAGTGACATTTTGTGCAGCTCATGATTAAAAATTTGGATTTTTAGCAGTTTAAGTATAATGTTACTTCACTTCTTTCTTTCATGTCTGTCACAACTTTAATTTGCTTTATATAGGTATTTATGAATGCTGGCAGTTGGTGGGTAAGTGTTTTAAACTTTTTGCACAAATTTAACTTTGTAGAATGGTTTTAGTTAGCATTTGATCTAAAGTTTAAGTTCTACATATTTTAATCAACTTGTTCAGAATGTGTTATAACACTCCTCTGGAGCAGGTAGGATTTGAACCCAGGTTTTCCTCATTCAGAAGAAGGAGTACTACCACTGCACCACAAAAGTCCTCAGTTTAAATTCCAAAGTTCAGTCTTGAGCATCATTATAACAAGCTGTCCATTGGAGAAGTAGATGGGCTCAATAACTAAAGAAACAGCTGAAACCAACTCCTCTGCAATTGGGTTAGATAAGCCTTTTGTATTAGCAACATATAAAACTAGTCAACTTTTTTTAAAATTCAATCATAAGATGTGGGCTGTGGTGAGGCTAGTATTTATTGCCAATTGCTACTTCCCCTGGAGAAGGTGATGTAAAGCTACCTTGTTGAACCTTTGCAGTCAATTTGTAGTAGATGGACTCACGTTGCTTGTTAAGCAGGAATTTTGGGATTTAGACCCAGCAGCACTGAAGAAATAGCTATACATTTCCAAGTCAGGGTGGTGAGTTGCTTGGAAGGGAACTTGCAGGTAGTTGTGTTCTGTGTATCTACTACCCTTTTCCTCTTAGATGGTAGAAGTTGTGGGTTTGGAGGGTGCTATCTAAAGAGCTTGGGTGAAATTCTACAGTATCTTGTAAGTGGTATACATTACAGCTACTGATGTGTCTTAGTACTGGAATGTTATAACAGAGTGCTTGGAGTTGGGTGAAGAAGGAAATTAGAGAGGGTGACTTACAATGGAATGTTGGAAGTCAGGGAGTGTGACTTAGAGTGGGATGATGAAGGGATTTAGGGCCATAAGGAAAGATGCGCCTTTTGCTTTTGGTTTTGCTTTTTCTGAATCTCTGTCTCCAAGAACTGGTTCTTTGTTACTGAAAAATAATCTAATTAATGATTTAGTGGGTATCTAGCAAATGGCTGATGTTTTTTCTATTCCTAAGCTTCAAAATACCACAGCAACTAGTGGTAAGATTAACAAACCATATTTTAAAAAAAGTAAATACTTAATTAAATAAAATAATTAAGCAACTAATTTAGGGATGACAGAACAGATGATATGTCACAACTGTAGAATATAGGAGCTCCTGGACACCAGTTTTATTGAGGGCAAATGTTCACAGCAATTGCTGATGTTCAAGCACACTTGGATCAGAGCTTGGGGCTGAAGGGTGACTTTCAGACACTTGACATATCAGGGAGGGGGACAGTAAGCTGGATCTTTTGTTACAGGAGGTAGTCAGATATCTTAGGATTGGGTCAACTGATGTGTTCAGGGACAATGACAGCATGACTGCAGGTGAAGGAGTTAAGGAGATCCAGTGGACAGGAGCTCAGAAGCCTCGGCTTTTGCAATTGTCCAATATGTTTTGAAGTTCTTACACTCATCCAATCAAAGTGCGAGGGCTGCAGGGATGAGCTAACTGACCATGGCACCACAGCTCAGGAAGTTATTCAATTGGGAGAGCAATAAGAAAACTAGTGATAGTAGGGGACAGTCTCCCACTTGAGTGTGAATCTAAATGGCTGTGTTGCCTGCCCGTTGCCAGGTTCAGGATACCTGTTTAGGGCTGGAAAAAAACTTTCAGTGGAATAGAGAGGTTATATTCATAATGGTCTGTGTAGGCCCCAACAACATAGGCAGGGCACAGAAGATGATTCTGCACAGTCAGTATTGGGAGTTAGGCACCAAACTAAGAAGCAGAACCTTGGGATCATAATTGATAGATTATTACCTGAAAGTTGTGTAAATTGGTTATGGGATAACTCCGATTAGAGATGAATGTGTTTCTCAAAGTCAGGTGTGGGGGGAAAATTAAGTTCTGTTTATGGGGCACAGGCACCAGCACTGGGAAAGTGGGATCTGTACTATTGGGGAAAATTGACCACAAAACAATTTAGGTGGCTATGTTCTTGGGAACCACATTATTATGGCAGTAGAGAGGATTTTAAACCAACTAGCAGGGTTAAGCGATCAAATTTAAGAAGATGGGGTAAGCCAAAGATTAGAGACCAGCCCAAGATCTGTTTAATATGGGAAATGATAAACAGATGGAGACAGGTGAAGGAAAATATGAATCTAAGTGCAAATCAACAGATAAGGCTAAAGATTACAGAAAGAATAAAATGATAAAACCAAAGACTCTGTAGAAACAAAACATATGGACTGAGATTGCAAATGTAAATAAATAAGTGCAATCTGGTCGTAGAGACATGGCTGCACAATGACATAGTGTTCCTGAAAATTGAAGGATACAGGATATTTAAGAATGACAGGAAACTATGAAAAGGTGGAGGGGTGACCCTGTTAATTAATGATGCTTTTAGTACAATAGTGAGGAATGACCAATATTCGTGAAACCTAGATGCTGAAATGGTTTGGGTAGAGATAGGATAAAACTAAAGTAATTTGTGGGAATGGTGTATAGGCCTCCATACCCAGAGTGGAACATGAAGAAATAATGGGAGCTTGTTAGAAAGGCATGGTATTAATCATGACCGATTGTTATCTTCTACATACAGACCGGAAAAGTCAGATGGTTAGAAGTAGCTTAAATAAGTTCAATTTTCTGATGAAGGGTCTAGGCCCGAAACGTCAGCCTCTCTGCTCCTATGATGCTGCTTGGCCTGCTGTGTTCATCCAGCCCTGCACCTTGTTGTCTCGGATTCTCCAGCGTCTGCAGTTCCTACTATCCCCCCATAAATGATGTTTGGATGGTTTCTTAGAACAGCAAGTTGATGAGTCAACTAGAGAGAGTGAAAGTGACTTCCAGAACCTTTTTTCAATGCAGAATGTCTAAGTATTCCACATTTCAACTCCAAATTCTTAAATGCAAAAGTGCATCCCCAATATTTTTTTCATTTTGAATGAGAATCCAAGGCTTTTTTTTTCAAACTTAAATAATGAATGCATGAAAGCAGAGCTGGTTAAAGTTAAATGACAGAGATAGTAGGAGCTGCAGATGCTAGGCCCGAAACGTCAGGCTTCCTGCTCCTATGATGCTGCTTGGCCTGCTGTGTTCATCCAGCTCTACACCTTCTTATCTCAAAGTTAAATGACAAATTAGGTTTAAGGATAAGTCAATCGAGATGCAGTGGCATCTTAAGGGGATACTTCAAAATACACGACAGATACATTCCAACAAGGTATGAATCCACTATTCTTTTAACTAGGAAGATTAAAGATAGTATCAAAGGAAGACATGTAATTGTGCACAGATGGCAAATCAGAATATCGGGCAGCAGAGACAAATGTATATTGTACATAATATGTACTGAATAAAATAATAAGGAAAACATTAGTGGGGTTGAAATTGCCAGAAGTATATATTCATGTTTTTATAATGATTTTTAAAGTTAAAGTGTGCAATAGGCCTATAGAAGGTTGGGTGGGGAATTAATAATGGAAACTAAAGAAATAACACTACAGAGGATACAAGGAACATCTTAGAATTAGGAATCAGAGGGAGAGACGAACTTGGGAAAATTACAACACCAAAGATGTGATATTGAATAAATCATTGGAACCTAGGGCTGAAAAGTGCCTAGATATGATGAATTTCATGCTAGGGTCTTTAAGGAAGTGGCAAGTGAAATAGTTGATATTGTTTGGCTTTATTTTCCAAAACTTCCTAGATGCAACGGTCTCATTAGATTGGAAGAGAGGGAAATGTAACTCCTTTGTTCAATGAGAGACAGGAAGGAGGAAACTTTAGGCCAGTTATTTAATGTCTGGGGAATGTTGGAAGCTATTATTGAATAAGTTATAGCAGGGCACCTGGATAGGTTCAAGGTTACCAGACAGAGTCAACATGGTTTTGTGAAAATAAAATCATGTTTGACCAATCTGTTGGAGTTATTTGTGGCAGTAACAAGATAAAGGAGAACCAATGAATGTACTGTATTTAAATTTCTAGAAGGTATTTGATAACATGCCACATGAAAAAAATATTGTAGAACATGGTAGAAATTTGGAACTCACTACCTGTAAAGATGGTTGAGGCAGAAACCCTCATAACATTTAAAAGGTATTTACATGTACACTTGCAATGCCAAGCCATACAAGTCTACAGGCGAAGTGCTGCAAAGCGGAATTAGAATAACCAGTGGTCCTCTTTGGTGGTGCAGACTCGATGGGCTAAAGGATATTTTTTAGCTGTAAACCTCTGACTCCATAAAAGTTCATGTTGTAAAGGTAGCACATTGGCACGGATAGAAGATTGAATAGCTAACTTGAAGCAGAGAGCTAAAAAATTTTCTTTTTTTTTTCCTCATTGTCAAGATGTAATGAGTGGCAAGCTACAGGGGATCAAAGCTGGGACTTCAACTGTTCACAATTTATTTAAATAACTGAATGAAGAGAAGGAAAATATGTTGCCAAAACTGCTGATGACACAAAGGTATGTAGGAAAATAAGATAACAGGAGGCTGGAAGAACACAGCAAGCCAGGCAGCATCTGGAGGAAAGGAGAAGCCAACGTTCCAGATATTACCCTTCTTCAGGACTGGTTGTGGGGCTAGGGGTAGCTGCAGATAAAGAGTGAGAGGGGAGTAGCAGAATGGTGGTGATAGGTGGACACAGGTAGTAGGTACAACCTGGTTGCCTGATGGGAGGGATCCCTACTAATGTTGTCTACCTATCACCACCAACCCACTACCCCCCTGGTTTATCTGCAGCTCCCCCTTCACGCACATCCAGTCCTGAAGAAGGGTAATACCTGAAACGTTGACTTCTCCTTTGCTCCAGATGCTGCCTGGCCTGCTGTGTTCCTCCAGCCTCCTGTTAGTCTACCTGGATTCCAGCATTTGCAGTTCTTTTTGTCTCTAACCATGTAGGAAAATAAATTGTGAAAAGGACATATGGAAACTACAAAATGATATAGATGGGTTAAGTGGGTGGGTAATTGAAGTCTAATGTGGGAAAATGTAAAATTGTCCAGTTTTTTTTTTGTAGGAGTTATTTAAAAAGTTATCTAAATGTTGAGAGATCACAGTTCCAGTATACAGAGACACCTGAGTGTCCCAGTGCATGAATTGTAAAAGACTGGTATACAAATACAGCAAATAAATCATCATTTATTGCTAGGGGAACTGAATACAAAAATAGGGAGATTATGCTTCAGTTGTACAGAGCACTACTGAAACCACACTTGGAATACTGTGTAAGTACTGATTGCCTTTTTTAAAGGATGTAAATGCATTGGGAGCATTTAGAAGTTCCACTTAGTTTATCAGACTAATAGAAAAAAGGATGAGGAAAGATAATACAGACTGGCTGACGTTTCGGGCCTAGACCCTTCATCAGAAAAGGGTGAGGGGAAGGGGGTTTTGAAATAAATAGGGAGAGAGTGGGAGGCGGATAGAGGAGAGGAAACAAACAGGTCGAAGAGGCGGGGATGGAGCCAGTAAAGGTGAGTGTAGGTAGGGAGTTAGGAAGGGGATAGGTCAGTCCAGGGAGGACGGACAGGTCAAGGGGGCGGGATGAGGTTGGTCGGTAGGAGATGGAGGTGCGGCTTGAGGTGGGAGGAGGGGATAGGTGGGAGGAAGAACAGGTTAGGGAGGCAGGGACGAGCTGGACTGGTTTTGCTGCTTGGCCTGCTGTGTTCATCCAGCCCTGCACCTTGTTGTCTCGGATTCTCCAGCCTCTACTATCTCTGATTCACTATCCATAATACAGACTGGGCTTGTCTGCTGGAATTTAGAGTAATACACAACTTGACAGGGGTAGCTGTGAAGAGAATGTTTTCTCTTATGGGAGTTTCTAGAACCTGGGGTTACTGTTTTAAAGGTAAGGGATAGGTGAATTTTTTTTTTCGAAGAGTATCATCTTTGGAGCGCCCTTCCTGAATAGGCAATGAAGTAGAGCTGATGAATACTTTTAAGGAAGCCGTAGAAAGACCTTTGGCAAGGGGTGAAAGGATATCAGAGGTAAGTAGGAATATGAATTTGAGGTTAAAATCGGATCGACTATGATCTTTTTAATGCAGAGCAGGTTTGAGTGACTCACCCACTCCTGTTCTTTGTAATTTTAAAAAAACTGTTGTTTTGCATTCTGGTTTGCTGTAAAATTCTTAATCTGGTTACTCAGCTTCCTTGATTACTCGCCGTTACTGGATGCCACAAGTTCCCTGTAGATGGTGCCAGATTGAAAGTGACATTGTAACAAGTGAAACTGATACTCTCTCAATCTTTGAGAGCTGCTATTCTAAAGTCAGTAGGGAGTGCAGACCTTTCCTTGTTGACCACAAAATTATAGGTTATAATTTTTGTTTAACAGCCAGGAAATTAATTTAATGAGGAAAAAGATGACGAAACATGCTTCATTGCATGCTTGTGTACTTGTTGCACCTTGGTATCTACATTTAGTTGTGATTAGTGTTTGGACCTGCTGAGCGAAGTCATATTTCACTCTACCAGCTAAATGGATATGCCACAAAAGAAATCCAAATAATTGAAATTTTTCAAGAAATAATACCCTATTGAAGCTTTGAGGAACATCTGCTAATTTGCAAGTCAGATATAAAGGTACAAAAAAACACACTGTAGTGGTTGATGTTTTCAATTAGATTTAATTCTTAAAGTGTGTATTAATACCACAACTGATTGTTTACACACAAACCATTTTGCAGTTAGAAACTGTACACCATTAGATTGTATAAACCTTGCAAACATTACTGATACAGCTTTGTTCCAAAATTAACACTTACATCACTAAATAGATTACAAAAGTGTTTCGCATCACTAGTTTCACAAATATCCTTTTCAAATTATTAAAGCACAGGGAAGTGGTTCCATTGCAAAATATGTACCTCAGTAAGTTGCAACAGTGATATTACAGTCAAAGCACAAAAACCTAAGCAGTGACTTTTAAACCAGCAAATGCTTGGCCAATTGGTTGATTAATAACTTTGGTGCAAGTGTCAGCTGCAGGTTGTAACGACAAGGTCACTATTTTCTCCTGATTGGTTATTGGAGCAAAATGGATAGAAATTCACATCAATGACTTTGTTTCATCTAAAAATGAAGCTGCCATTTTCTAAATAAGTTGTGCAATAAAAGTTCAAAACTTTCATAATATACTTTTGCCTGTTATTCTAGTGACTGTCCTTATTAGGCATGACATCATATTCTTTAGGCAGGCAGTGGTATATATTCAGCCTATTTTGGGGAAAAAAATTAAACTCTCAAGAGAAAGTAGAGGGTGGCACTAATGGCATTGTAGTTAGGATACTATCATGCAGCACGGAGTTATTGGACTTGCCGAACAACCTGAGATTCTCAGCATAATGAGTTCCCAATCTCAATCAGAGCTGTAAATTGAACACAACTGATTCAGCTTGATGAAACCATGAGTTAAATGAAATTTCCCAGTCCAACTTTCAGGAAACAGGAATTTCAATGGTTTCCATTTCTAGATGTCTTTTGCATTGTACATATCTGTGGTATTATGTAATGTGACACTTTGTAGCGTAATATTAACACTGTTCATTATTGGTTTTATTATTTCTACAGCTTTGGCACTATTATTTCCCAAAATAGCTCAATATTAGCTGTTAATTGTGCATGTGAATATACGGTTAGAGACGATACTGTAGAAAACAGGAAGAGGGTGTAACTCTGTCTCTCAAGTTCTTTAAACATTTACTGAGAAGGACAAATAGAATCAGAATAGGCTACTGCTCATCCTTGCCACCAGAGGCAAATAAATAGCTCAACACTCGCAAGAAAACATGGAAATCTGAACCTCTGAAAAAACTTTTTTAAATTGAGTTATCATAATACATTTTAAAACACTTAATTAATAGAACAACTTGTCATCAGACATGTCAAATTTTGATATTTTTGTGCAAATCAATATTTTTCTTTAGAATTTTGCCCTCCAAAACAGTAAATATCAGTCTCAATCTATCTGGCTAGCTTGGCTTTATTGTGCACTAAGTACCCTGTAGTGTTGGATATAAGAGAAGGTCTTCCAATTTTGTTTCGTCTAATTCCAAACTAACTAAAACTCTCCAACAATACTCTCCAGTTTTAGAATACATCAGTCCTAAATTTGTCATTGGATAGTAGCATTTAAAATCTAAATACAGTAGTATTAAATTCTCCTTTGTTATTTTAGTGAATGCATTAAAAAATGTTTAACGTCTTGTTAAAATAGTAGAAAGAAGAACTTCAGAAGAACAGTTCACATTTTTGCACACTAGAATCTCATCTCATGGCATCATTTTAAAGCCTTGTGACTCCTTTACTGATGTTTGCCCATTGCTAGTTTCCTCTTTTTAAGTAAAGATAAGTTGTTTTTTTTCAGTTCACAGAATTTCTTCCCCACCACTGCTTATACCTAAAGGGATCCCACCATATTCTTCTAATACATAATGCGCCATTTAAGAGGCTTAGCTAAAAAGTAGAATAACATTACAAGAAGGAAGTTGACATTGTGATGATAGCCTAGCTAAGCCCACAGCTAAACTGTAACCTGCAACTGAGATTCTCCAAAAAGCAGGTCAGACAGCATCTGGGCAGGAAAAAAGTTAACATTTCAGATCAATGACCTTTCAGCAGAACAGTCAAAATTTGGAGACACAACAGGCTGTAAGCAGGTACTGACACAGGGAAAGGAGTAGGAAGGCAAAAGTGAAGCTCTGTGATAGTGTAGGAGTAAGGAGAGATAATGCTGCAAGGCCAAAGGGAGACTGTAAACGACAAGAAAGAAAATATGGTTTGAGAGGGGGTGTAAGTGGCAACAATGGAACCTAAAATAAATGAGAAATTGCTGACCTGGAATTCTGAGTCTGAGGACTGTTACATACTAAACAAAATAACAAAGTGCTGTTCTTCAAGCTTCAGTGATGACAGTTATACAGTCATCCCCTTCCCATTTCAGCTTCCTGTGCAAGCACCAGGAGTACATCACAAATTTTTTTACCTCCTTTGTTATTGCCCCAAAACAAACTATCCAGGTGAAACACTGTCGAGTTCATACATTCTTTAATTTAAAACACAAAGTCATCACTTTTAGTTTCCCTGCTTGACATAATTTTGTTTTTAAAGTACATAATTCTTTGGAGGTCTTTTTTTTGTGTTTTGTGTTATTTTCATTGCAATAACTTTTGCCTGTATATGTGGTGAATCAGGGCTGAAATTGTGCTTCAGTGTTATTGCAGATCAGCATATGGCCCATAGCTAGACATCCTCCTTCATTCTAGCGGCAGGCAAGAGTTGGCACTAGGCTAGAACATTCAAGCCATTCCTGGGTCAGTCCAGTTACTCTGATCTTGGGTAGGAGGGTGTATTGGGATTGGGAGAAGGTGCAGCATGGGTGAGGGCAGTGGTGCCTGCAAGGATTTTGGGAACTTGGCACCATTGTGACTACGCTGTCTTGGTTTCATGACCCACATACCCAATCCCTGAAACTCTGCACCATAATGCAGCAGGCACCAGGGAGGCAGCAAAAGACACTGGAAGATGCACAGCTTCTTTATTTTCCCATGCCTGGGTTTCTGCTAAGCATCAGATACAAAGCAGAGCATGAAAAATAGCACCACCAGAAAATGAGACAAAATCAGCACAATTCATCCAAAACGTATAACTTGCATCACATTTAGCTCTTCTGTCTCATTTTTACTGTGGAACTGGAGACCTGATATTATTTTTACGGAATTAGTTTGTTGAGCTATAATTGCCAATTTATGACCACACATTGTATTTTAGATATGTTGCAATATTAGAAAAGCTACCCTCTGAGTTATCAGAAATGCACATTTTAAAACACATCATATGAACTGTAAATGTTATCCCTTCAATTAATATAGTGCTTATCTAATGACTTACTTTAGTTTGCGAGGTATTTCAGCTAAGAGTGTGTATTTGTTTGTATATTGGTTTTAGTAATAAATGTCCATAGGAACGCAACTTTAGCTATTATACTGATTCTTAGGGGAAATCACACTTCATGAAATGTCACATCACTTAAACTAACTATTTTTAGGAATGCATTCACAATTTTAAGTGAAGACATTACTATGCTATATTTGTTCACAACGTGATCTACTCTGCATTGAGTCGTCCAATTGTAGAGTGGGAGGGTGCTTTGCTGAACACCTCCGTTCAAACAACTGTGGTACTGAGCTTCTGGTCACTTGCCATTTTAATTTTCCACCCCACTTTGACTCTGAGTTTGGCTTCCCAAAGTGTTGCAGTGAACATCAGTGGAAGCTGGAGGAACAGCAGTCTTTAAGTTAGACAATTTACAGTCTGCTAGACTCCGTTCAACTATTTCAGACTATAACCACTACTCTCATTTTGTATTTGAACTGCAGTTGTTAATAATGATTCTGGTGTTGCCAATTCTTTTGATATCTTTTGTTTCTTCACTTGACCCATCATCGTTCTTTTGCCATTTAATCTTGCATTCAACTCCTTTACAAACTTTCCATTTTATCATTTTTCATTCCTTCTCCCTATCTCTACACCTTGCTAAAAACGTGTTATTTATCATCTTTGCCATTGCTAATGAAAGGTCATCAACCTGGAACATTTTTTCTCTGCACAGATGTTACCTAATCCTGCCGCTTCTGTTCTCTTTAATTCCCTTTACTCAGATTGGTTAAAGTGAGAATCCCCAAAAATTCAGAACCACTTCTGGGATCTCTTGAGCTAAAATTATTATCGGCAACCAAATCATATTCAAGTCTCTTTGGAGATGCCTGAACATGGTCAAAGGTATTATGTATAAAAGCCCTGAAATGGTCTGTTTAAAAAAGGCTACCACACGAGGCAATCTACAATGTGCCTTGAGAGTTATCTAATTCAAAGCAACACACTGAAGAAGACTTAAGATATAATACTCTGGATTTTCATTTATAGCAAGAAAATTAAAATTTGACAATGTACATCAAGCAGTATCTTTTTAAATATTCTAAAATCTAGGAACTTTTAACAAGTTACATTATGCAATAAGTCAGTGAGGCATGCCAATAATAACCAACTACAATTATGTAGCACCGTTGTTTTTTTTTAAAAAAAATTACAAAATATACATTTTGTGAGATGCTGTCTGTATGATGAGTTAAATTGATAAGTCACCATGTTACAGTCATTTATACCAGGCAACCCAGTGCACATAAAACCAATGAAACCGTAATTAAATAAGGAACCCTGTATAAGTGTACCAATCCGAAGGCTGCCGCAGCAATGGCTAAGAGGAGCTGCAGTCTCGCTGTGTGTTTCAGCAGCTTGCTAACATGAAAGGAAAAATAAATATTTGTTATGCAGAGAATTAAACATCTGACATTGTGTATATAACACCTTACTGTGTTGAATTATGAAGGGTGATTATGGACTACAGAACTTGATTTTATTGGATTAATCCACAATAACTGAAGTAGGGTAATATTGCAAATATTCATTTATTTTTGACTCCGCTAACAGGTGTGCAATAGGTAATGTTAATGGTAGGGGAAGCTGGCATTTGAATTCAAGGACCCCATGCAGCCTTTTGTTTTCTTTATTCATTCACAGACTGAGGGCATTGCTGGCTAGGCAGCATTTATTGCCCATCCCTAATTGCCCAGAAGGCAGTTAAGAGTCAACCACATTGCTGTGGGTCTGGAGTCACATGCAGGCCAGACCAGGTAAGGATGGTAGTCTCCCTCCCTAAAGGACATTAGTGAACCAGATGGGTTTTTCCAACAATTGACAATGGATTCACGGTCATCATTAGATTCTTAATTCCAGATATTTATTGAATTCAAATTCCACTATCTGCAATGGCAGGATTCGAACCCAGGTCCCCAGACTGTTATCCGGGTCTCTGGATTAACAGTCCAGCGATAATACCACTAAGCCATCGCCTTCCCCCAACCTAACTCAATAGCTAGAACTGGGGCATCTGCAAATAGCTTCCAACTAACATTCAAGCAGTAAGATAGAGAGAGAGGCATTACTGGTCAGAGAAATATCATTGGAAAAACCTACCAAGACATGGATTCTCCCCAATATTCCTCATACATTCAGTGTTGTTTGAGGACTCTGAGCAGAACCGAGTGACCTTCCATGTGAATGGATAACTGGGTTGAGAGTCTTTGGAACTTCTTGCCACAGGGAACTGTGGAGACAGAGTTCTTATGCATATTTAAGGCTGAGATAGATTCTTGATCAGTAGGGGAATCAAGAATTATAGGAAAATGCAGAAAAGTGAATATGATTGCCTCATCAGTAGTGATCCTACTGAATAGAGGAGCAGGCTTGAAGGGCTGAATGGCCAACTCCCATTCCTGTTTCTTACGTTCTTAGTGGATGGTAGATCAACCTGCATTGGTCTTTCAGCCACAGTCTTCACTTGGCGATGTCTCTTAAAAAACTGATGATGCACAATATGATGGCACTATAAAAGTAGTGCAAAGTATATTTACAAAATAAAAATGCAAAAACTCAGAATCCAGAGGGGAACAAGCATCCACTCCCTTCACCACTGACACTCAGTAACAGCAATGTGTACTATCTACAAGTGGAATGCAGAAATTCACCAAAGATCCTTACATAGCACCTTCCAAACCCGCAACTGCTTCCATCTAGAAGGACAAGGACAGTGTATATATATGGGAACACCTCTACCTGTATGTTCCACTGCAAGCCACTCACCATCCTGACTTGGACATATATCACTACTCGTTCAGTGTCACTGGGTTAAAATTTTGGAGTGCCTAAGGGAATTGTGGGACTATCTACATACATGAACTGCAGCACTTCAAGAAGATAGCTCACCACCACCCCTCAAGGGCAACTGGGGACAGGCAATGAATGCTGGCCAGCCAGCGATACCCACATCCACGAGTGAATTAAACAAAAAAATTCAGAGTTATACTTTCAGTCAAATCTCAGACTTCTCCTAATGCATCAGCATCCATGCTATGTCCTGTCATACTCGGGACTGATCCACCAGAGGTGATAGTACAATGCTGTACAGCTGGGAGGGAGCGGCCTTGGAAGATTTCAATAATGACTCTGGGCCCCATGGAGTCACATGGCATCAGATCAAACAGGGTAAGGGAGTCTTCCTGCTGATTACCTCCTACCTACCTCGATCCATCCTTCAGCTGATGAATCAGTACTTATGTTGAAGATCAATTGGAAAAAGCATTAAAAGTAGCAAGGGCACACTGGAGGTCTTCAACGCTATCGACAAGAGTGGCTCAGTAGCATCAGCACTGACTGACTGAGCTAAATCCTGAGCAAACAGCTACCAGTCTGTGTGTGGTGGTGAGCAATACAACGTGAGGTTAAAAAAAACCCAGTTGATCCTGTTCTCATCAATCTACTTGTCATGAATGACAGAAATAACCACAATATGTTCCCTATACAGGTGACTTCCCATCTTGAAAATGAAGACACTTTCCATTGTGACGTGTGACACAATCACTATGCTAAATAGGATAAATTCAGCAGCTCAGAAATCTATGAAGAACTGTGGGCTATCAGCAGCAGAATATTATTCCCCCACTTTTTATCCCCATGGCCCAGCATATCCCACACTCTACCCTTAACATCAAGCCAAGGATAAAACCCCGATTTAATGATCAGTGAAGAAAAACAAGCATGAAGCAGGAACAGGTGCCAATCTGGTGAAGCTGTACATTTATTTCTGCAATCAGTGAACTGATCAGCAGCTCTTGTGCATGGGATTTTCATCCTATGGGGGCCTTAATTCAATGAGAGGCCTGACTCCAACTGTCACCTCAGAATAGCGCAGGCTCCCACCAGCTAACGCTACTAAATTCTGCACCTTTAGTTTTAATAGTGCTATCAGTGGCATATACGCACACAAATAATTTAGTCACTGATGCTCAGTTTGAGATTGTGGCTCCAGACCTCATTATAGCCTTTGTCCAAAAGTACATAAAAAGAGCTTAATTTCAGGACAGTGACTGCCCTTAATGTCAAAGCAGCAGTTAGCCAAGTGCAAAGAGGACGAATGTTTTTCAGAGCATTTCCCTAGACTTAACAATCTTCAGTTCAGTTCATAACTCCTGAAGATAATGAACGAGTCTGTGCCAGTATCCAGCAAGACTTGGACAAGGTTCAGGTTTGGGCTGATGATCAACCAGTAATGTATGTGCCACACAAATGCCAGATGATGACAATCTCCAAAAGAATCTACCCACTTCCCCTTGACATTCAACTGGACTACCATCGCCAAATCCTCCACAATCAATAGAACATTCACCATTGACCAAAAACTTCAAAGGATGAGCTGTATAACCACTGTGACTGAAAAAGCAGATCAAAGAGTAAGTATTCTGCAGTGACTGGTGACTCTCCATAGTATCCAAAGCCTTTCTGTCATCTGGATATGAATAATATTTTCTATTTTTGAATGGCCCAGGCCACCAAATTCATTTTATAAAAACATCCTCTGCTTTAACAAAGGAACTTCAACGCAAGCCAGATTTTGATGGCAAACTGCAAAATAAATAACTGTACTGAAAATAAGACTATTTTTACTTGCATCGAAATGCTTTTTGATGATCAGTTAATTTATTTTGCATCCCTAAAATGAGTCACAAGCATCTTGGAGCAGTGTTGGGAAGCAGTACTGGGAAATATTTGAATATGATATTATTTGCATAAGTCCTTCAGAATGAACATAAGATAGTGGCTATCAAAAGGAGTCCAGAGATACCTTTTAAGTGGTTCATGATGTAGGGCCAGCCTTACAGGGAGCAAAATGGGTGAACATTTGGAGTACTGTGGTGAAGAGTAAGCAAGTGAGCAACGGATGAATATGTGCTTTGCTTCTTTTGTGCTGCTCTTATACCAGTACTGCTGCTCTAGTACTTGTGCTGTGTTCTGCCTTCTGCTTCAAGTAACTACCTGTTTTCCAAAAAGTATCTCATTCAGCAGTTTCATCTTATGATTATTATGTATTATTATAATTTAGAAGGCGTAATCCAGTTGTAAGGGGTTCCGTCAGTTAAAACAGTTTGAGAATCATTGCACTGCATCATTGCATAGTTAAGTCTAATTTTGAATTTTGCAATATTCTTGGAAGATAATGTTTCTGACCAATCCTTTCGCAATATTTTTAGAAGATAATTTTAAGTACTTTTAGGGAAAAAATATAAAATGACCTTTCATGTTCACAACTACACTTTTAATTGTGCAGCTAACTGATAATAATTACAACATCCAAATCATTAAATCTCTCACTTATTTACTGCCGTATTACACTGAGAAATTTATTCTGAGACATGAATTATATATAAAGGGAATAACTACAATAGTGTTGTTGTTAATGACGCTTGCTAAACGACTGCTAGATAGATGTCACTACACTCCCACATCACTGCCTAGCTGTCAAATTTAATACATTCACATTTTTTGAAGAGTTGCCTAGGGGTTGTTATCCTCCATCAAAATATTTAATTTTGCAGGAACCCATGGAAAGATCAGCATAAAACTCACCAAGCACTTTGTTAACAAGGTATAGAAATGCAAAAGTAGCATAAAATTACCTTCTCTTAACTGATGTCGAATGTGAATTAATGAGAAGTCCCATCGAGAACACAAGGATAATTGCAACAGAACCGCAGGGATCAGGATCAAGCCTTCTAGAATAGCTGTTTAAATGGAACAAAATATTATATTACTAATATATGAGAACAAGGACAAAAGGAAGAAAAGCAACTGACAAATTAAACCAATAAATCCACTGCACATAAAAGAGGAATAAAGAATCAGATTGTATTTTCTACCTTAGCTATGTAATTGCTCTTACAAGGAAACCCTTCTGGGAAATAACATTTAACTGCTGTTAATCGGAAGTAAAGAGACACATTAAGTTATAGTTACATAAAGAGAGCAGACGTGGACTTCTCAAATGCAGGTTTTTCCTTTCATTATGTTTTTACCTCTGAAAATATGCCAAATTTGTTTCTAAACACAAAATGAGTTTGCCAAAGTAAGAATTACATGGCATTGACGCACAATGATGATAGAATGAACAGATCACACCACAGGTCCAACAATTTGAGTAAAATCCTCTCATATAGTGAAATCTTGATACATGAATGACTGGTAGTCAAGTTAAAAAAAAAAATCTAACTTCATATTTTAGTGTCAGATTGGGAGCGAGCATTGATGATTGACAAAAGCAGTGAACAGTAATCTCACAGTAATATATGGTTAATGTAATGGTAATGATACAATAAGTTTGACAGGTATTAATCCCAAACGCTAACTAACTTTGTAACAAGAAAGGTTCAGTGGATATTCAAATGTGAGCAAAATGATCTTACCTGAGATTTTTAAACCAGTAAATAAATGAAGGTGCACTAAATAGAAGAATCCAGTTCAATAAATGTAGAATTGTAATATGAATTTGAAGAGTATCCACTGCATCATCGACATCCGAAACTGACAGCAATTTATTTTTATCTGGGTTCAGCTGTTCTGATTCTTCTGAGGCATGATCTTTTGTTCTAGACTTGTCTCCTTCTTTTGCACTACAAGCCAATGCACCTTTCTTCATAATTTCACATTTTGGTGCCTGCAAATTAAACAGAACATCCGTGTTACATTTTTGTTAAAAAACGCAGCCAGAAATATTAGGAAACGTGACAAAAATGTTAAACGTAAGAAGCAATCAATGGTTTGTTGCTGAGAGGTTAGACTTAAGTTTCAATATTTCTGAATTATTGTATATATCTAAAGATGAATTCTGAGTAGCAAACAAGAAGGAAAAAAAGGCTAGTAAGATGCTAGAATTATTAGATGGTGGTTAGCTGTGAGTCACAACCCAGTCTGATCTGTGATTTTCCATTTTTGGTAGCCAACTCTGTAATCAGCACATTTTGATGTTTTCTCTAATTACATACTGCAATGCTATTGAAAGTATATCAAAGTCCTGCTTGCAAGGGCTACAGTTGGGATTTTTAATTTTTAATTAATGTATGGCGTGAGCATCTTTATGAGTGAGATAACACCCACCAATGAGAAAGCCCAAGAGATAAATGCTGATCAGACACTTAAGTGGTCACCAGGTGGGCTTCTCAGGGAATCATTTCTTGGGACAATGATGCTGCGCCCTCCTGAAGCTGGTAGCCAAAGGCTGGCAACCTGATAGATGCAGTACTGCTTTTGAGGTTCAGGCTGATAACTGTCGGTATTTTCTAATCAACCTGTTCAGAGATGCTATTACACACTTGTGCAGCAGGTAGAACTTAAACCCGGGCCTCCTGCTTCAGAGGTAGAAATGCTACCACTGCAGCAGGGGAACCCTCAGGCCAATAACTGCACAGCAACGCTGAAGACCTATAAACGCAGGTAGTGGTTATCTGAAGAGGGAGGGAGGGAGGGAGGGAGGGAGGGAGGGGAGCAGTGGCAAGGGCAAAGAAGGGAATTTCACTGGCCACTCCCACCTCCCCATCTGCACCAATAATTATCCCCTGGATTGGGGAAGGATTACAGTTTATCAAATTGGCTGAAGGATAAGGCCCTTAGGTATTTGTTAATTGACCACTTCAGGGCCTTAGTTGGTGGCAGGTTGGAAAGGTAGATGTCTGGTTTTGAACTCTGTTCCAAAAACAGCAACGGATGCAGGAGAGTGTTAATTTTAAACCTGAGATAGATAAATCTTTGGTAAGTAAAGGTACTAAGGGATATGGATCAAAGATAGGTGTATGCTACATGGTAGGAGGGAGTGAGAACAAACATTCTCCACAAAAGTTATCTTTTAAAGAAAGCTTGTAGTGAATAATATCTTCTTTCGAAAGAGATACTTTACTTTATTTGATGCAACTCTAATTTCCTAAAGGCCCATCTGTCATAACCACAAGAACAAACTGGTGAGGCATCTGTTCTTGTCACGATATCTATCTTATGAATTAAAAATAGTCAGTGACCATCTAAACTATTTCCAGTTATTTACTTCCAAATTTGAGCCCAATGAATATTCCTTGTAGGCCCTAGGCATCCACAAATTTTCTTTTAACAAGAAGAATGGAATGGAATGCAAACTTTACTTCATGGTTGTCATCAAAACTGTAACTACAACTTTGCACCATCCAATATAAATTAATCATCACCTTCTTCTCTGAAATTTACTGCAAGGTGATGCTGGGTGCAAAATAAGAATGAAGGCAAATTAGCACTGCAGCTAATGTTCAAATCCTGTTAATGTTGTTTGGTTCTTCTGTTTTAGGGGAAAGATTTGACTACATGCTGATACACACATGGTCAAAGACTCAATGCTTTCTAAACGTATAAGAGTAAGGTTAGACAAGGTGTGCATCCTTCTCACATTGCATTTTGGATAGCATATTTGACACCAGTCTGCCTGTACAGTTCAGTGGGTATCAATTCCCCCATCAAGATGGTTTGATACCTAGACAACAAGGTGCAGAGCTGGATGAACACAGCAGGCCAAGCAGCATCATAGGAGCAGAAAGGCTGACGTTTCGGGCCTAGACCCTTCATCAGAAATGGGGGAGGGGAAGGGGGTTCTGAAATAAATAGGGAGAGGGGGGAGGCGGATAGAAGATGGATAGAGGAGAGGATAGGTGGAGAGGAAACAGACAGGTCGAAGAGGCGGGGATGGAGCCAGTAAAGGTGAGTGTAGGTGGGGAGTTAGGGAGGGGATAGGTCAGTCCAGGGAGGACGGACAGGTCGGGGGGGCGGGATGAGGTTAGTAGGTAGGAGATGGGGGTGCGGCTTGAGGTGGGAGGAGGGGATAGGTGGGAGGAGGGGATAGGTGGGAGGAAGAACAGGTTAGGGAGGCGGGGACGAGCTGGCCTGGTTTTGGGATGCGGTGGGGGAGGGGAGATTTTGAAGCTTGTGAAATCCAACCATTTCAACTCCCCCTCCCATTCCTCAGACGACATGTCCATCCTGGGCCTCCTGCAGTGCCACAACGATGCCACCCGAAGGTTGCAGGAACAGCAACTCATATTCCACTTGGGAACCCTGCAGCCCAATGGTATCAATGTGGATTTCACAAGCTTCAAAATCTCCCCTCCCCCTACCGCATCCCAAAACCAGTCCAGCTCATCCCCGCCTCCCTAACCTGTTCTTCCTCCCACCTATCCCCTCCTCCCACCTCAAGCCGCACCCCCATCTCCTACCTACTAACCTCATCCCGCCCCCCTGACCTGTCCGTCCTCCCTGGACTGACCTATCCCCTCCCTAACTCCCCACCTACACTCACCTTTACTGGCTCCATCCCCGCCTCTTCGACCTGTCTGTTTCCTCTCCTCTATCCATCTTCTATCCGCCTCCCACTCTCGCCCTATTTATTTCAGAACCCCCTTCCCCTCCCCCATTTCTGATGAAGGGTCTAGGCCCGAAACGTCAGCCTTTCTGCTCCTATGATGCTGCTTGGCCTGCTGTGTTCATCCAGCTCTGCACCTTGTTGTCTCGGATTCTCCAGCATCTGCAGTTCCTACTATCTCTGGTTTGATACCTATCCCACTTCCACCACATCAGAAATTAAGTTCTGGATGATAGGCTAGAGGTCTACCTTTCCAGAGGCAGGTTCGGCTCTAACAAAATTTTATAAGGTAAGCAGCAATTATCTTCACATTGATTAATATTCTGTCTTGTGCTAAGTTTTTTGACCAGAGTATTTGACATATCTAAGAGTTGAGGAGAGTAGACAATAATTTCTCCATTCAAACAAATTACCATTTAAAAGTTACATAAAACTTCCATTAAACTAAGCTACTTGCCAGTTTCCATCTGTGCAAAATATATTTGTTGGAACAAGATCTTGTAACCCCAGCTTGCTGCAGCAATAGAATTGTGCATTGTCCTTTTACCTCTACGAGCTGAGTTTGAATCCAGCCTGACTCATGGGAAGCAAGGCTGCTTTAATCAGCTGTAAGATCTTGTCTGAAATGAATTTGGGAAGTCTTGACCTCGGCTTCTGCAGGCATTATCCAGTAACACAAATCTGCCCATATATTGGCACAAATTGGCTTTAAATTAGCAGCACTACTCAGAACTGTCATAAAGGTGACTGCCATGAGAAACAGAATGACGTAGGTGAGATGTTGTTCTGAAATTGAATTAAGATCTTAATTTTCCTGTGCTATATATATCTGTACTGTCAGTGGTTACCATAAGTGGAAAATAAAATTCAATTTTTTAAGCAGTAACACTGATTTTCTTGAACATAAAACTTATCAAGAATTTTCTATGGAAATTTTGAATTTCTGGCCCACATTTACAAGCTTTAGCTTTTACAATGATATTTTGATAGCCAAATCGATAAATCTCATAACCTGTTTTCTTTATGGGAGTGATATTGCTAAAGTACTATTAATTACTGCAGACATGAGATAGCAAAGTGCAGTAGTCATCGTAGTCCCAGACAACCACAGGGCTGCTGTTTTATTAGACAGAGACAAGTGGTGGTGAGTTTAACCTTAGGGTCACCGGATCTTAAGCAAAGGGCGAGGTTGAGAAGGAAGGACCTTCGTAGTAACCTCAACCAGTATGGGTGTTGAACCTGTGCTGTTGGTATCATTCTGCGCCACACACCAGCTGTGCAGCCAACTTAGCTAACTGATTCAGAAAGTGTACAAATGTGGCAAAGTGTACTGATGTGTTGCTTGCACTCCATTTCAAAATGAAGAGCTGAAGTCTCCCCCTAATATCCCCAGCAATTTTCTATATTTTTAAGTCCTTTATTTCAGCTGGACATCCAGTGGCTGGCGCATCACAAGTGAGGAGATAATACAAAATGGTCGTTATTACAAGAAATAGTCCTGAAAGGAAGAACCTGAAATTAGTCAATTACATAATTCTGCAAAAAATAATAGAATGGATACACCTGACTGAAGCTGTCAAATCTAATGCTGGCCGTTTTCACCTTCACTTCTTCGTGGTAAACTAGCAGAGTGGATCACCCACCTTTTGCAGAATTTACTTGATTTTCACTTTCACCAAATGAAAATGAAAATTGGTCAGGGTCTACAACTGTTCGGTGATTTGCTCAATTAGTGCACCTTCCAAGTTGTGAAGGTGAAAGTTATCAACTTTGTCCCTTCCCATAACGAGGCTCAAGGTTTGTTTTCACAATCCCAAATTATATGTAAATAACTTCCCTATGTAAATAAATTCCCTATTCTTTAAGTGAGTGAGAATGTTAGTGTATTTCATTTCTATATATTAAAAGTTGCTGCTAATGCTTTTTTCCAGTACAAATTTGTGTAAAAAATTAAACCTTTGGAACTACAAATGTAGAAAATTAAATACACATCAAAATGAGCATTTACTGTAGTTAAGTGGACAAGGTTAAAGCAACAACTTAAATTAACAAAACGTAGCATCTTCCATTCATGCAATTCTTACATTTATTCCAAAGCAAGTCCAATACGACTGTTATATTGGACTTGAAACTTTAAACTGTGTTTCACTCTCCACCGATGCTGCCAGACTTGCTGAGTTTCTCCAGCACTTGCTACTGTTAGTTCAGATTTCCAGCATCTGCAGTATTTTGCTTTTATCAATAAATAAATTTGTTTTACAAGAAGAAAATCAATTTATTCCTAAGTGGATGATCAA